CACACACACAGACAGACAGGTTCACTACTGAGCTCCTGTAATCAGAACTGTGGGACCAGCATAAATTCAATCATAAAAATCAATAGAATTGACTCGAGGTCCCCAAACCAAGAACTGTACAATATGGTCAATTGATTTTTAACATGGACATCAATATACTTCGTTAGGGAAAGTCACTGTCTCTTTAACAAATGGTGTTAGGCAAATCAATCCCACGTGTTGCACAAATAAGTTGGACTTTTACCTCACACCAGAGACAAAAGTCACTGAAAATGGGGTCAAAGATCTAAAGAAAAGATTGAACTCTGAGAAGAAAACATAGGCAAAGCTTTGAATCAATCAGTCAGCCAATTCTTCCTCTCTCAGTTCAAATTATCTTTGAATTCAGTCCTCTGGATCCAGGCTCTCAAGGGCTGGGATTACAGGCATGCATTGACATACCATACCCACGCTAGGCAACTTTTCCCCAGGACATACATTAATAGTGTAAGTGACAGAAGAAAAAGTATGTAAGTGATGGCTTGAATGAGATGTCCCCCATATATCTCAGGCATCTGTGCACTTGGGTCCTCAGTTGGTGGAACTGTTTGGGAAGATTTAGGAGAAGTGGAGGAGATGGTGTTGGAGGAAGTTTGTCATTGGGGGAGGCCTCAAGGTTTCAAAAGCTTTCCACCATCCCCAGTGCCCTCTCTCAGTTTCCTGTTGTTGGAGATGTCTCTCAGCTGTGGCCCAACTCTTCACAGACTCTAACCCTCTGAAAATACAAGCCCCAAACAAATCCTGTACCTTGCCTGGATCATGGTGTCTTATCACAACAATAGAGATGTAACTAAGACAATATATTGAACTTTATCAAGTTAAAAACTTGCCCTCTGCAGTCCTCTAAGTGTAACTCAGTGGCAGAGCCCTGGCCTTGTGTGTGTAGGGTACTATGCACAGGGTACTGTGTGCAGTTCAGGGTACTAGAATTTTGAGGAACCACAAAACTAGCTTCCATAATATTTGTAAAATCCTCTGCCTCAGCCCCATACTACTGGACCAGCTCTCATGTCCCCATTTTAAGCTTGTAACTGGCAAAGATCCCTGTCTATATCAGTTTCTTTTCATTTCTGTACTAAAAGACCGTGACCAAAAGAGATTCACAGAAGAATGTTTATTTTGGCTTACAGTCCCAGAGATGAGGTTCACAGTGGAGGCTGAGAGACATGTTCAAAGAGAAGAGAAGAGAGAGCAAACGGGGTGTGGTGTGAGATGAGAAGCCCTGAAATCCCACCTACAGTGACGTATTTCCTCCAGCAATATCCCCAAGGTTCTAAGCCCTTCCCTAGCAATGAACCCTGAATGCTACAATATTAACCAGGCAGGCAAAATGGGCCCACTGGTGTAATCATAGTAAAGGGTGACCAACACTATTGGATTGGATTTGAGGTCTGTTCCACAGGACAGAATTCAAGCCTGGTACTGTAAATCTGGCTGAAAGTCATAGCTTAGGAGGTCAAAGGTCATACTGTTGTCTTGCTAAATGGACAAACTGTGGTCAAACTGCCTCCCAAATACTTACATTTATACATAGAGATTATTGATACGGTCAACTTTGGGTCAGAGAAGCTCTCTGTGCAGTGGGCTACAATTAATGCCAAGATTCATAACTGGCTAAAAAGCTGAGAATAACTAATTATTGAGTGCTCAGTTCTAAATGGAACATCTGTCTCACACTGTTCCTGCCCCCTTAAGGCTAAAGGAACATCTGGGGAGAAGGGGCCAGATAAAATGCAAGAGCCAGAGGACAAGCAGAAAGAAGTGCTATGAAATGTTATCTTCTGGGTCACAGCCATTATAATAATGAACTTACCTGCATATGATCAAGCCAACGAGAGAAGTCAGCATAGGGACTGGAGATATGGCTTAGTGGTTAAGAGTACTTATTGCTCTTCAGGGAAGCTGGGTTCAATTCCCAGTGCCCACATGGTAGCTCACAACCACCTTTAACTCCAGGTACTTGGAGTACATTCATACACATAAACTGCACTAAAGAGGAAAGAAAGACAGAAGAGATGTGATATAAAGTAGGGAGGTGTTTGTGGGGAGTAGGAAGGGTGATTTGGGGGTATATTGGTATATGATCAGGATACATTGTTTTCATGTATGAAACTGTCAAAGAATAAAAGAGATCCTATTAAAATTAAGGTGGAGATAGCCGGGAGATAGCCTTTAATCTCAGCACTCAGGGGGCAGAGGCAGGTGGATCTCTGTGTGCTGGAGAACAGCCTGCTCTACAGAGTGAGTTACAGGACAGCCAGGGCTGTTACACAGAGAAACCTTGTCTCAAAAAACAAAACAAAACTTATAAAAAAAACAAGATGTAGTGAAACTGAGAAAGGTACTTGAGGTAGATTTCTGACCTTTGTACATACACATGTACCTGGAAACATGTGAACGTATACACACACAATAATCACACATAAACAATTTAAAAGTCAGATGTGGTGGTGTATACCCATAATCATAATACTCAGGAGGCTGAGGCAGGAGGATTGCTGTAAGTTTGAGGCCAGCTAGGGATACACTTTTGTTGTTTCAAAATGAAAACCAAAGAAGATAAAACAAAGTCATCTCTGCTGATGAACATTTGGGCCATTTGTTTATTTGTTGTATAATGAAATACATTACTGTGAATATTCTTGTACATCTCTTATTGGCTTTGCATGCAATGTAATTGACAAGTAACTTTCATGCTTTATTTTACAATTTCCTTCAGGGATAAAACTGACAACATTTGTAGCTAATGATGGCTTTGAGCATCCGTTAGTTTTCTCTAGCATATGTCTAGGAATGGCATCAGATGCCTGGGTCATAAGGTTCACCTAAAAATTATGAGATGGGACTGGGGTGTGGCTCAGTTGGTAGAGTGCTTGCCTAAAAGGCACAAAACCCTAGACTTGTAATGCTAGCATTTGGGAGACTGGAAGATCAGGAATTTAAGCTATAAGTGAGTTCAAGGCTAGCTTGGGCTACATGAGAACCTGTTTTTTTTTCTTGCTTTTTGTTTTGTTTTGTTTTTCAAGACATGGTTTCTCTGTGTAGTCCTGGCTGTCCTGGAACTTGCTTCGTAGATCAGGCTGGCCTCAAACTCACAGAGATCCACCTGCCCCTGCCTCCTGCTAGGATTAAAGGCATGCACCACCACTGCCTGGTTAGAACTGTCTGAGGAAAAGACAGAGAGAGAGAGAGAGACAGGGGGTGGGGTGGGGTGGGGTGGTGGTGTACCTTCTAGCTTATTTCAAAATTGTCTTTGCAAGCTTTTGACCCAGGGGGTCCATACCAGATATATGATCAATTCGGAGGGACCTTGGTCTTGAGGATCTGGCTGCAACCCTGATTACCAACAGCAAGAAGTATGTTGTTGCTCACTCAGTGGAAGGAGTCCCATCTGTGGAGGACATCAGCATCTGCTATCTTTATGGTTCCTGCCTCCTATTAGTCATTGCAACAGGACAATGATTACTGAGTTGCCCTATTCGGGTTAAAGTCTTCCAGCTGAGCAAGGATTTGCTCACCCAGGTAGGTCAGATATAAGGCAGTGGGTGGAGACAGGCCTTGTTTGCTCTCTCAAAGGAATACAGGTCATCTGGGGATGTCCATTGCTTAAAAGTCTGAATACAAATTCTCCCTTAATGTTAGTGGGACCTGAGGCAAAAGTACAAATGGATGACTACTGAAATTATTTAAAATTACAAACCTTTCCAATGAACTATGAGTCTTATAGGAGTCTAGCCTTCTACTTTGATTAATGTGTATCATTATGGTTTGAATGTAGACCTTTGCAATGACCATAGAGCAGACTTGAATTTAGAATTCTTACAATCAAAATAAATAAATCAGAAAAGAAAAAGGGTAGGACTTGGTAGTCCAGTCCTGAAACCCCAGCTTCTCAGGAGGCTGAAGCAGGAGACTGTGTTTCAAAACAAAAAATTGAACAAGAGCTCAATGGATAGAGCTCAATGTGGAATGCTTGCCTACTGTGCTTAAGGTTAAATCCCCAGGTCTTCAGCAGAAAAAAAAAAAAAAAAAAAGATCAGAGATTCCTGGACTTTGGAGATATGTGCACTTGAATACGGTGGCGAGAGGAGCTCTGGCTACTGGCCCATGGCTTGCCTTCCTTCTCTCACCTGTCTTGCACCACGAAGATCTGTGAACATAAACAGCAGCTCAAAAGCTATGCTACCTCCTCCAAATACAGCAGCCCTTGGTACTTTGGGAAATGTCTACACTGTCTTATAGAAAAAGGAGAGACCATAGCTTCGACCTCGCGGGTAGGTAATTCTGGGCTCACAGGAAGGCTGGTGGACTTTGGTCTTGAAATGCCAGGCTGTGTGGACTCCTTCTCCTAGAGAGGCAACAAGGTGTGAGCAGAGCTGAAGAGGAGTCTTGAAAGAATGGAGCCTAGGGCTGTCTCTCTTGTTCAGGCATACTTTCTGTATGTAATTTCTCCTCTCCAGTCACGAGTGCAAGCGGTCTGGCTATGTTTCCAGCAGCTTCCCTGGGCTGGGCACATACAAGTCAGACATCGTGGCTTAATGGAAAGTACACTGGCTTGCATATAAGAAGACTTGGGGTCCAGGCCAACTTCTGGCCATAACAATTCTTCCTATTTTATTGCCTCATTTAAACGTTTCTTCGCTACTGTACTCATCAAGGTTATGAGGTTAAAGGACTCACTCTCTCAAGGTCACACAGCTAGGCAAAGAAGCGGCTGGGCTCGCGGGCACACAGGATTTCCTCACACAGGCTTTTTTTTTTTGACTGGGTTCTGGGAGCCAGGAGCTTTAAGAGTCCTTGCCTTTCCCGCCAGCAGCCTCCTCCACCCCTGGCTCTCATCAGCTTCCCTCTGATGATGCTCAATCTGCCGACCCCTCCTCCCCGGTCTCCCTCCCTCCTGAGGCCCCGCCCCTCCCCTTAGGCCAACGTCACGTGCCGCCCCATCCCCCCGCGCCTGCGCACTGCTTATTTCCCGCTGTCAGGATGAGGAGGCGGAGGTCGGCGCTCTGGTCCGTCTCTGCCCGGGGCTGTGGCGGCGCCGGCGGCTCCAGCCTTAGCGGTTCCTCCCTGGGCGGCGGCGGCCGCGGCTCGGTCGACGCCTCCTCCGCCAGCTGAGCCCGCGACAGCCCGGGACGCCGCTTCCCCGCCCATTCCCGTTCCCCGAGGCCCCTTCTGGCCATGGCGCAGCCGGGCCCGGCTCCCCAGCCTGACGGTGAGGCGCCCACCATGGCGGGCGCGGCCTGCCCGGCGCGGCGTCACGGGGGCTCTTGGGGCAGGAAGGGCACGCGCGTGGGCCCGGGGGTGACCCGCGGGGACGGAGGCGGGGCGCGCGGGCGGCGCAGGCCTGGGCCTCCGGGCTGGGGAGGGGGCGGCAGGCGCGCGCGGGCGGCTGCGGGGAAGGGCGTGGGGAGCCTGCGGGACGCCGGGGGCGGCGGGGGAGCGCGGAGAGGAAGGTGCGGTGGGATTAGCACGTGGGTTCCGCCTGTGGGGAGGATGGAAATCGAGAACATGTGCTATATTCGTTAAAAAAAAAAAAAAAAAAAAAAAAAGGGAGTCCTCGTCTCAGTAGTGGCGATGTGTCTCTCGCCCCACCTCCGCCTCCTCAGGCCACGCTCTTTGCACCGTGTTTTGTGACTTGTAAAAAGTAACTGGGATCGGTAACGATTTGGTAGCATTCTTTGAATGGTAGTGTAGCTTAGTGGTAAGTTCAGGCACATTTCTTAGTCCTTTAGGACCTCACTTTCTGATGCACGAGGAGTGCTTGATTCATGCCTCTTTATCGGGAAAGATGGGCAAGCCGTGGGCTATGCGATAAAGAAGGCAACATTTATATGTAAAAAGATAGTATAGTATTGTTTCAAGAGTGTTAGGAATGAAAACGATGCTCGAGAAACTAAAGTCGAGGAAATCAGTCTTTCTCTCCCTTTACTCTCTTCCTTTCAAGCCATGGGGTTTCACTTTGTTGACCATGTTGGCCTGAAACTCCTGAGCTATCATCCTCCTGCCTCAGTAGCCAGAGACTTGAAGGTGCAGGACAGACTGTCTTTTAATAGTGCTCATATTATATTTTTGGAAGGGAAAAAAGGCCTTGTCCTAAATAAGCCATGATGGTTGGGTAGAGCCCTTCATGACCTTTTAGCCGATTGAGCTCTGCTTCAGAGATTTGACCACATTGTTTCAGATTTTTTTTTTTTTTTCTCAAGCTGGAGTTATGTTTGGAAAGAATGTGCTCGGTCCTTGGCAAGATCTTACTGTGTCTAGTTGAGAAAGTTCTTTCAGGTGCATTTCTATAATTGATTGGCCTTTTTGCCTAGCATCTTTACCTGTAAGTAGATAGAATGTTGGGATACGCGATTGGCACAGAAGTTACTTCACTTGGCCTTTCCTAAGAGTAGTCTCTTGAAATAACCTTTTGTGAAAATCTGTGCTTGTTCTTGCTGTGGGGGAACTGGAAACAATGTTATCAGATTTTAACTGCTCTCTGGGAAGTGTTCTCCAAAGCCCGTTAGCCTGTAGTTTTGGGTTTTGTTAGTTGCCTAAGGGGTAATGCCCAGCCTGGACTTTTGATTCGCTTGGTGTTTTAGTCTTGTGGAAGAGATGGTGGGCTGTCAGGAAACAGGGATGTTTTTTTGGACCTTCTTTTAATTCTCACCTTTTGTATTTGGTGTCAGGGAAGAAAACTTTACAAACCCTCTTTGTTACTGCAGACAGAGGCAGAATACAGAGAAAGCTCTGGCTTCTGGTAGGTATGCTTAACTGGCTGCTGCCTTTTTTTTTTTTGCCTTCCATGGACAACTCAGGTGACATGAGTCTGAACTCCACTTTTCTGCCTCTTTCAAGATATGAAATGGTCATCCCTGCAAATAGGCAGAAATGACTAAGCACTTCACAGCATCGAGGAAAACATTAGCATTGAGAAATCTCATGTTCTTGCTATTCCCAGTTCAGGGTTATTTACCATTTTTCAAATCTTAAGAGTATGGGATGAGATTAAGTTTACATTGTAATTGTTTTTTAATTGTAAGTTAATGTAAAGGAGTGACCATAACTATCATTTTCAAAAAGAGAGAGAATGGTATTGAGTTCTTTGTGTCAGTGTCTGCTTAGAAGTTCATTTCAGGAAATTAGTTTTCCTTCAGTTGAGTTCATATTGATTGATACCTTTAATTAAAAGCACACTTGAATTTCAATCTCTCCAGGAATTGGAGAATTCCTTTTCATCAAACAGACAGTAAAACATAACTATTATTTAGTCCTGGACTTTTGCTTTCCCATCGTTTCAGAAGCAGTTGCTAAGGTTTTTTCTTGTTGGTATACTTGTGTGTGATTGGTAAGATGAGATGTGGCCACTTGCATTTTTTATTTCATAGTTTTGGAAGTTTTGGTTTTTGATGGTACATTTTAATGTACAAATATCAATTGATAAATAATTGAAAATTCAAAGACAAGTGTAAGAATTCTCAAATTTCAGTTTAAGCTAAACTATCTTAAAAGAATTTTCCTGCTTTTGCTTCATTAAAATTAAATTTTTAAAAATTACTTTTATTTGTCTGTGTTTGTATGTATACATGCTACAAGCATATGTGTAGAGGTCAGGACAATTTGTGGGAATTGTTTCTCTCTTTTCACTATGTGATTTTTGAAGTTCTCAGGCTTGACAACAGTAACATTTGTCTGCTGAGTGATGTCACTGGCCCCTTTGTTTTTATATAATTCCTCTATTTAAAAAAAAATTGTATGTTAGAAAAAAAGGATTTTGAATGTTTCCCCATAAAGAAATGGTAATATTTGAGGACATAGATCTGTTTAACTTCATTTACATATTTTATAATATATGCTAGCTTCTAAACATTGCAAAGCCACCCTGCCCCATTGATGCTTCTACTTCATTTTTAAAGTTTATTTTTATGTGTATTTTGCTTGCATATTTGTATGCCATGTACATGTCTGGCCCTTGGAAGCCAGAAGAGGGTGTTGGGTCCCTCTGGGACTAGAGTTACAGATGGTTGTTAGCCATCATGTGGGTGCTGGGAATTGAACCCAGGTCCTCTGGAAGAACAGCCAGTGTTCTTAACTGCTGAGCCATCTCTCTAGCCCTCCACTGATGCTTTATATAATATATATAAAAAAAAAATCTTAAGAAGTAGAAGTATATTTCCCCTATTTCTCAGAGGTGAGATTTCTGTTTTGTCTTTTATTCAGTTATACAGACATGTTACCTTTAATTCTTGAAATAGATGGGTATTACATACCTAAGCCTGAAACTTTCTTCTCTCTCTTATATGTTACTTATAAAAGTGTGTGTATGTGTATATGTGACTGGTTACATAGCTGTATGTCATAACCACTGCAGGTACTGTACTATCTCAAGGAATCTTCATGTCAGCGGGGGTGTGGGTGCGGGGGTTGTTGCTATTGTAATAGTTTTTGGTGGAGAAACTGAAGCCCAAAGAAATTAAACATGCTGGAGTTACAATACACTAGAGAGTCAGGATTCAAACACAGCATCTGATGCCAGGACCCTCTGGTTTGTTTATTAGACCACAAGGACCCTTGTCTGTTTATAGCTCTGCCTTGTTCTTATTAAAAATCTATTCCATCATGTGTGTGGCATGAATGATGGATTTGCTTGTTTTTCTTCAGTATTATTTTAATGATTTTTACTATTTGTTTTATGTGTACTTGTATTTTGCCTGCATGTATGTCTGAAGAGGGGATTGGATCCCTGGAATTGGAGTTACAGGTGGTTGTGAGCTACCATGTGGGTGCTGGGAATTGAACCCAGGTCTCCTGGAAGAACAATCAGTGCTCTTAACTGTTTAGCCATCTCTCCAACCCCTATTTTTATTTTTATTATTGAGACAGGGTTACACTGTAGTCTAGCTGGCCTTCAATTTATGATGATCTCCTTTATCCTCTTGAGTATTGGGACTACAGGCATGAGACACCCTACCTGACTCTGTTCCCACTGGTGGGCTGGTTGGTTGCTAATCTCTTTATTTTATAAGCAAAGGTAAAATGATGTACTTTTTTTCTACTGGGATTTGAATCCAGGACTTTTTGCATGCTTAATATAGTAATATAGTGCTAAGCAAGCACTGTATTACTGAGATGTAGCTCTAGTTTCTTAACTTTTGAGACAAGGCCTCACTGTAACATAGCAAACTTTGAACTTAAGATCCTCCAGCCTCAGCTCAGCCTCCTTGTAACTGGAATTGCAGGCCTGTACCACTGGTACTCTTGCTTTTATATCTGTGAGACTACTGAATTAAAGGGTACATTCTGGTGGATTTAAATATTAAAGCCGCTCTTAGCTTAAGCTTTAAAAAAAAAGTATCAATTTACATACCTGTCAATGTATGTGAGAAGGTAGATATCCCCATAAAAGCTTGTAGGTGTCTGTTTTAAATTTGTCTTCTGATAGATTTTTTTAAAGGCTATTTTGTTGTTTCTGTTAGTCATCCTGTCTGTCTCTGTTTTTCTCAGACATTCTTGCTAGGTAGCTCAAGTTAGTTTTGGATTCACTGTGTAGCTTTGGTTCACCTCAGACTAACTAGTCCTGCTTCATCTCCTAAATGCTGGGATTACAGGCATGCCCACCATACCTGAGGTATTCTTCAATTAGCACTTAGCTGGACTATGCCAACCCCTCTTGTTAGTCTCTAAGAAATAAGGAGATAAGCCAAACTAGACCCAATCTCTGTTCTTAGGTAGTCATTTAGTTATTAATTAGATCATTCCACAGATGGTGTAAAACCATTTATTTATTCAACTATTACTAATATGTACTACTTGCTATGCACAATTCTGGTAATTATAATCCATCGGTGAATATGACAGGTAATAAACAGTCCTGCGTGATGAAGGTAGAACAGGAACTGAACATATACAAGTTATATAGATTCTTAGCCAGTAAGTGCTCTGCAAAACAGAAGAACAGGGTCCAAGGAAGTATTAGGCTAGTTTTATTTATTTAGTTTTACTACTTATGTGTATATGTATTTGTGGGGTGGGGTAGATACATATGTTGTGTTTAGGTGTCCAGAAGCCAGAAGAAGGTGTTAGATTCCCAAGAGCAAGAGTTACAGTTTGAACTACCTGGTGTAGATGCTAGGAACTGATCTTGGGTTGTCTGCAAGAGTAACAAATGATCTTAACTGCCAAGCCTTCTTGCTAGCCTTGGGGTTGGTTTTAAATGAAATGGTTGGAATA